ATTGATTACACGCGCTGGTTGCCTGATCTGCACGAGGCCCGTTCCAGTCGGCACACCGCAGATGTTCCACGCCAGCGCCGAGGAGTCTGCGACCCACGCTGACGAGAGCTGCCGAGGCCGTCGGCCAAGGAAGCACCGCCCAGTCTCGAGGCGGACGTGCGTGATGTGTTTTGGACGGTGAGGCTCGCCCCCTTCCGCGAGCCCTTCCGCGAGCCCTTCAGCCACGTTCGCGACGGCGCGCTCATCGCGCCGCTCGCCGAGGCCGGAGAAGCGCGCGTGATTTACGGGCCCCTCGGCAACAGGCTTGAGGAGGGGTGTCGGTACACGGCGCCCCTGAAGGCCCCCTTCGCGCCCCTGGAGCCCCGAGGCCCCCTTGCTGCGCGTGCGCGTCACATGGGGCGTTGCTGAGTGAATGAATTCATGATGTGACTGACTATAGACGTTTTGGCGCGATGTCTGCTGGATGAGGCCATGACTGGGCCCCGGCGGCAGCGCGCGGCGCCCGCGCAGGGCCGCGTCGACGCGGGCGCGGCGGGAGGGGGCAAGAAGGCGGGCGGGGGAAAGATGCGAGAGAAGGAGCGCCCCGCCCTGCCGCGATGCTCACGGTTGCGTTGCTGGGGTCCGCCGTGCAGTTTGCGATGGTGTTGCCGGAGCTCGCGGTCGTGCAAGTGGAATCCGTCGTGGTGCTTATGATTGTGTTGCTGGGTATCGTCGTGCTGATCGGGGTCGTATTGTCGGAGTCCGTCGCGTTGCTCGCGCTGATAATGTTGGAGCCCTTCGTGTTACTCACGGTCGCCGTGCTGCTCGCGGCCGCGTAGCTGGAGTCCGTCGCGCCGCTCACGATGGTGCTGCTGGAACCCGTCGTGCTGATGTGCTGATCACGGTCGCGCTGTTGGATTCCCTCGTGATACCCACGGTGATTATGCTGAAGTCCGTCCTGCTGTTCACGGGCGTGTTGGTTGAGTCCGCCGTGCTGCAGTGTGCTGGGGTCCGTCACGCTGCTCGCGATCTTGTATACCGTGGTGCTGGTCGCGATGGTGCTGCTAGAGTATTGTCATCCTGCTGACGTTCGTGCTGCTGTAGTCCGTCGTTTTGCTTTGGATGATGCTGCTGGGGTCAGTCGTTTTGCTCGCGATGGCGCTGCTGGGGTCAGCCATGCTGTTCACGGCCGCGCAGCTGGAGTCATTCGCGATGCTCACGATGGTGCTGCTGGTGTCCGTCATGATGATGACGGTCGTGTTTTTGAGGCCGCCGCGCTACTCGCGATGGCGCTGCCTGGCTCCGTAATGCGGTTCTCGGTCGCGCGGCTGAAGTCGGTCGTGTTGCCCGCGACGGTGTGGTTGGAATCCGCCGTGCTGTCCTGTCCACGGTCGTGCTGCAGGAGACTGTCGCGTTCATGTGTTTGCCTCCCCCTGCGCAACCCCCTCTTCGCCAATTCGCTCAACATGATGGTGGGCGATGGTGGGTGATGGTGGATGGCTGACTGAGGGTGGGCCGCCCTAAGTTTGACTGACATCGGGGTTGTGTGTTGTTGCGACTGCCTCGCCGAAATCCTGCTCGCCCTCTGCCGTGTCCTTGCGGGGGCTCTGCTTGCGATTAGCGACCTCCCCTGATCGTTGCGCTCGCGCGAACGACGCGAAGCCCGCGGCGCGAGCGTCTTCTGAACGGGATCGGGGCCGCGTCCCGAGAGGTAGATGCTGGGGCGTGAGATGCAAGATGTGGGGAGTGGGAAAATAGCACGGATGCATCTATCCAGTTGCCCGCGGCAAATCCCGCCACCGCGCCTGGGCCGTGGGTTATTATGCCTAGTGGAGGTTTGTTGGAACATCGCGGGGGGCTTCTCGGGGGCCTCTAGGAGTCAGTTTAGGGACCTCGCGGGGGCAGTTTTGGGGCCGTTCTGCCGAGGCGGTCTCGGGGCCTCTCGGGTGCCGTTTGGGGGGCATCTCGGAGCCTTCCAGCGCCTCCTGGCTCGAGGCGGGTGGCTCGGAATTTCGGTTCGCGCTCCCTTTGGGGGGCGTCTTGGGGCCCTTTCGGGCAGTCTCGGGCGCCCCACGGGCCGTTTTGGGGCGCTCTCATGCCGTTTGGGGTCCTCGCGGGGGCCTCTCGGGCCGTCGCTGAGCAGTTTCGGCGGCCTCTTGAGGCGTCGGGGGGCCGAGAAGGCGAGAACGCCAAAATCTTACACCACGCAGGGTAGATGAATGATTTGTGCATTTGGGGGCTTTTTTGGAAGACATATTGGAGGCCTATTGGAGCGCTCCGGGAGCCCCCTGCGCCATCTCGAGGCCGTCTTCGACGTTTTCGAGCGATCGTTCGGCGACTCGGGGCCCCCTTGCATCGCCTCGGTGGCCCCCGGGATGTCGTGGAAGCCTTGGAGAGCCCCTCGGCCGCCCAGGGCCCCCCCGGGTGATCGCCCAGGCGTGGTTAGTGGTGTATGTTGTGTCTCTACAACGCGTCCAAGAACCGACCAACATTCAAGCGCGACGACTGAACGCGATCACCAGAAAGTTACAGGTCTGCCCGAAGAAGATCGCATACCAGGCGATGAACCCCACGGGCGAGGTCGACTTACATAGCGACCCAGGATATCGACGCCTGAGTGGAGACGCCGACGACGACGTCAAAGGCTATGGTATTTGCGGGGCAAACCTGCTACGACGTGGAAACACGTTATCTGGTAAGCCTGTCGTTCACTTGATTGATGCGCACTGCAAGTCTCACCGCTTGCAGGTCCGCTCGAGTTATCCAGCAGAGACACTAGCAGCAGCCCGTAATTTGGAGGGCTGTTATCCCTTGACTGTGACTCTGCACGAGCTCCACGCGGGGCCGCTCCCGCCCACTCAGTTGAAACATTTACTTGAGTTGGGTGGCCTGAACATCAAGGTCACTTTGACCATCGATGCTGAGTCTGTAGTTAAATCCTTGTCTAGCACAGACTTGAAGAAGCCGACTGAGTGTACCCTTTTCGGACACGCCAGTTGGATACGACAGATGATGGAGCGTGGAACCGTGCGCAGCAGTCAGTGGTGTGATACCCTCGACATGACTGCGGATGGCCACACCAAGGGGAGCCTCGGCAGAGAAATGCTCCTACAAGTCATGGGAGGTATGCAGACCTTCAAACATGATCTGAAGAGACATACTCCCTATCGGGCCGGCCAGACATCAAGTTCATCGCATGCGGGGCAACTTGCTAGCGGGTCCACCTCCCTTTGGGCCCGCTTCCTTTTTCTGTCCTTGTGTAGGTTAGCTGCTACGCCTGCTGCATAGGGGCGGCGGGCTCACGCTTCGTCCCCCCCCCCCCCGACTCTAAAGCGAGCTGAGGGACGTAAGGAGTGGAAACGAGCGCGCGCCCGCGGCCGCGTCGGCTCAAGCGGCCGGCCACCCAAATTTGACAGTGCCTCACCGCGAAGCACACAATCGCTATCGAGCCCAAAAGGATTTTCCGATTGGTTGAGATGGCATTTCCTCTCATAGTGGGACTATCGTTGCTACGGTACAACAGAGCGGGAGCTTGGCTTCGCCTGAGGCGAAGCTGTTGGCTGGGCCGTCCAGCCCCCTTCGAACTCTAGTGTGAGTATATATATATATACATATATATATATACATATATATATATACACATATCCCGGGAGACGTGGCCGGGGGGTCCCGCCCAGGGACCTCGGCGGCGCATCGGGGGCGAGGGGCCTTACTTCCCTTGTGTGTGTGTGCGTGTGTGTTTGTGTGTGTGTGTGTTTTGTAAAAAATGTTTCGGCGACCCTGACCCAACAGAGCCCCGAGAGGTTGCAGGGAATTCCAGGGGCTCCCCCCGCCTGTTGCCCCTGATCTCCCACAGGCTTCCCGCAGGCTTCTAGGAGAGCTCCCCACAGCTCAAACACTTTGTTGTTCCATCGTTTTTTCCCAACGTGTTCCTCCATGCAGCCTGTTATGCATCCCTACGCTGCACGGCAGCCCCAGAGGACGCCCAGACCGTCCCGGTTCGGCCCCAGAGGCTCCCAACCTTGTACCCTGATGGTTCTGCATGGGAGGACTGGCGCGCCCCAGTAGGGTCTCATAGCGGGGTCCCGCCCAGGGACCTCGGCGGCGCATGGGGGGCCCAGGACCTCACTGTCCCTGTGTTTTTAAAAAAGGGCTTCGGCTTCCACAAGGCCTCCGCTGCGGCTCTGCTGCGGCCGCGCGCAGCAAAGCGCGCGGCGGAGCTCGCGGACACTCCAGTTGCTCCTCTTCCTACTCGTTTTCCTCCCCCTGCTCCAACTCTTCATTCTGCTCACGCTGCTGCTGGTGCTGCTGCTGCGCGCTTCTTCTCATCCGCCTCCATTTCCTCCTCCCTGCCCCCCCCTTACTTCCCCACCACCGTTCCTCCTCCTCCTCCTCCTCCTCCTCCTCCTCCTCCTCCTCCTCCTCCTCCTCCTCCTCTTCCGCCTCCTCCTCACGCCGGCAGCACAGTGCGAGAAATCCAAGGCTCCAGGAGGGTCGGCCGTTAGGACCCTCTGGAACGAGATACGTTGTCGATGCCACTGCTTGCCGTGGCATCCTTTGGCGCTATAGTAATGCAGTGACTAGAACCTAAGCGCGCGTGGCGCGCGCGTGGTTCTAGTACACACATATATATACTTATATCTATACGCACAGACCTTCACATACACATACACATACACATACACATACACATAAACATACACGACCAGACACGCACCTATACATTTACGCTTAGAAATACACTTACACAAACCAATACATTTACATGCACGTATACATATACCTATACACGTGTATGTGGGTATATCAATACAGAGGGAAATGCACACAAGTGCGGGCAGAGGAAACAGAAACATAAAGACAGAGAGAAAATGATAAACAATGATAACACAACAAAAACAGCGGCCACTGGGCGAGCTGACCGTAGTTGTACACGGTCAGTTTGGCACCCCTCTTCTGGTCCAGCCGATTGGGCCTCGACCGTCATGTATTTTGCACCCCTCGGTGGTGGGATAGCCGAGGTCCTGGTGCACTGTCGCGCTGGCGTTTCACGCAGCACGGTGGTGGTCATCGCCTACCTCGTCGTCCACCAAGGCCGACCTCACGCGCGGAAGGGCGCTTGAAATGTCCGAATGTGCGAGTCTTCTGGGGAAGTATGCACGTATCTGGTCTCATTTTCCGCGGGAGCCGCCCAGGGCCCACGAACCAGGTAAAAGGGGTCCGGCTCAATGGGAGCACGGAGTTTGCTGTTCCCTCTTCATCTAGTTGCTTGCGGCAAGTCCCGCCACCATGCCAGCCACATGCGATTGTGCGAGGAGCGGTGGGAGGCTGCAGCGTGTGAGTCGGGCGGCGTTAAGCGTTGACGGTTGTAGCAGCGACCAGAAGGCAATCACATGTCATATCTCAACCGTGTTGAATTTATCCTGAACCAGTTGAGGTCAGCCTTGGGTGGAGTAGTAGGATGAATGAAGCGACGAGGAGGAAGAGGAGGGAGGCGACTGTTCTCGTGAATTCCACCCATGACCTTTTGGTGGGCTTTCGGGGAGCGCGCCTACGCTACAGTTGAGATTCATGTTGCTGAATGTGTTTGCTCAGCTTCGATTGACGCGCTTCCCTTACATGTGGAGAACGGTTTCTCACGAATGGCAGTTTCGCTTGAGACATCCTCCCAAAATCGGCGTCGGAGCGGGCTCTGAACCAACATCGTCTTGTCATCGCTCTGGGAGGGCTTCAAAATGGCCCAACAGTGCGCCAAACGTCCCTCTATAAAACCCCAAGAGCGCCCCACGATGCTCCCAAGAGCGCCCCAAGACGGCCCAAGAGAGCCCCAAGACGGCCCAAGTAGGCACCAAGATGACCCAAGAGAGCCCCCGAAGCTCCCCAAGACACGGCCAGGCAGTCCCAAAAGGCCTGGACGTCCGCAAAGGACGCCGATATGTTCCCAAGAAGGGCCCAAGAGGCTTCCGAGATGCCTCAGGGAGGCTCGAAGACGGCCTCATACGTCCTGGACTCCCCATCGTAGCCCCTACAAGTAGGTACGAAGGGCCTTCACGTCTTTCATGTCTTCTCCTCGTGGTCCTCGTCCTTCTTCTCCTCGTCGTCCTCCTCGTCATCCCGACTGTCCTCCTCAGCTCGTCCTCTCCCGCCTTGTCCTACTCGTCTTCCTCGCCGTCCTCGACAGCCGCGTCCTCCTCGTACTTCCCACCCTCCACCTCCTCGTCCACGCTATCCGGTTATCCTCCTCGTCTTCCACATTGCCGTCTTCCTGCCCATTATCGTCTTAGTCCTCCTCATAGCCCAATCTCCTCGTCTTCGTCCTCCCTTTCCTTGTGCTTGCATTCCTCCTTGTAGCCCTCCTGGTCCTCGCTTGCTCCTCGTCCTCCATGCTGTCCTCCTCGTCCTCACCCGCCTTGTCTTTCTCCTCTCCCTTTTTCTCTTCCCCGTCTCATCGCCGCCAGCCTCCGTGGAGGCTGGCGGCGGTAAGACGGGCTCAGTGCTCAGTGCTCAGCTCAATACAGGCAGCCCGGATTAGTAGGTCGACCCTGCCAAATCAAGGGTACCTTTGTGTCCTGTGTCTCGCTTTCCGTGCCTCCTACATTCCTATTGTGGCCCTCGGAAGGTCCTGTTGTCCTCTCGCGTGTCCTGTCCAAGGAAGTCCGATTGTAAGGAGCCCCGACAGCCCCTCAGCGGAGCCCAGCATTCGGGACGCCGATTCCCGGCACAGGTTGGGAACAGCAACCGGCGGCGCGCCGAGGGGGGAAGCGAGGGGGGCAGGCCTCCTCAGAAGGCAGGAGGAGGAGGAGGAGGAGGAGGAGGAGGAGGAGGAGGAGGTGGAGGAGGAGGGAGGAGGAGGAGGAGGAGGAGGAGGAGGAGGAGGAGGAGGAGGGAGGAGGAGGGAGGAGGGAGGAGGAGGGAGGAGGAGGAGGAGGAGGAGTGGAGGAGGTGGAGGAGGGGGAAGAGGAGGTGGAGGGGGAGGAGGAGGTGGAGGAGGAGGAGGAGGAGGAGGAGGAGGAGGAGGAGGAGGAGGAGGAGGAGGAGGAGGAGGAGGAGAGGAGGAGGAGGAGGAGGAGGAGGAGGAGGAGGAGGAGGAGGAGGAGGGAGGAGGAGGAGGAGGGAGGAGGAGAGAGGAGGGGGCGGAGAGCTTCCCAGAGGGTGGGAGGCCTGCTGAGCCTTGGGAGGCGGCCCGCCGCCTCTGCCTGCCACCCTGGGCGCACCGTCGGCACGAGCGCAAGGATCACACTGCAGCTCTTGAAGGGACTCGTGGCTTGAGCTGCTTTCAGACTGCACGTCGGTCGTTGAAAGTAGGTTTAAGTCGGGCGTGCCCCTCTACAGGGGGAATGTTCAAAAATAGTCCAAGAATAGTCTGGGGACGATTTGTTCACTATTTTTGAGTATTCTGGGGGTATGTTTTAATTGTTTTAATATTTTCGCCCAAACTCCCCCTGTAGGGGACACGCCCGACTTAAAAGTAGGTATGTTTTGGATCATCAGATCCCGATCTACTTCACGCGCCTTCCTACTTCAAGAATCGATATGCCTTTCCTTTTTTTCTGTGGGCGGGCCTGGACCCGGTCTGCTTTCCCGCCTTCCTACTTCATGCTTTTATCTACTTGTTCCGACCGACGGGTAAGATCTCTCCCCTCCGCTCTCCTGAGCACGGGGAAGCGAAATAGTGTTAAGTCGGGCCTGTCCCTCTACAGGAGGAATATCCAAAAATAGTCAGAAAATAGTATGGGGACGATTTGTTTTACCATTTTGGGGTATTGTTGGTGCAGTTCTGGGGTATGTTAATTTCTTCGTCCAAAAATCCCCTTGTAGGGGGACAGTCCCGACCTAAAAAGATCTCGAGGAGTAAAACATGTGCACGAATAGAACTGTTCGAAGACCCGCTCGGGTTCCTTTGGCCTGCGCGGGCCTCTCTGGCAGCGCCTCCAGCGCCGCCCTTGGCGCGCTCCGTGCGCCGGGGAGGGGGGACCCAGTGCCGACCCGAGAGGTCTGTTTGGAGCTCTGAAAGCTTATGTTTTGGTTGTTGACTTTAAGTCGGGTCTGTCCCTCTACTGGAGGAAACATTAAACAATAGTTTAAACATAGTTCTTAGATGGTTTGCTGTTTTGACTGTTTTTGAATAGTTTAGGGTACTGATTGACTATTTTTTATTTGTCGTTCAAACTCGGCCTGTAGGGGGACAAGCTCGACTTAATGTTGAGTTCTCATTTCTAAACAATAGTTATTGTTGATCCCCCCTCCAGGGCACACCATGCTTTTTCGATTGAAGTGCCCTTCCCGGGGTTCGCACCCTCAGGGAAAATCTTGAGTCTCAGAATTATGTGTTTGGCCCCCGGTTGGCAGCAACAGTGGCTCCCGCCTGATACTTCCTCACAATTGATTTCTAGGTCGCGCTCTCGCGCGGGAACTTGTCACAATGTATGCAGACATTGCGCTCTCGGGACTTCATAGCAATTTCTTGAGTTGCCGCGCCCTCGATATTCAGGAGTCACGCTCTCGCTGTGGATTTCCTCACCACTGATTTTGGAATCAAGCTGTCGCTCGAGACTTCCTCTCGATTCATGCAGGACGCACGCTCGACCTGGCCGCCTGGGCCCTCCTTCCCGACCCGCCTGGTAGGGTCCACCCGCCCGATCTGCCCGTTTGGTTCTGCCACGTGTTTTCTGCTCTTAGCCGCCCTCCTGCTACTCTCTCTCTCTCTCTCTCTTTCTCTCTCGTGCTCCATCCTCTAACCCCCCCCCCCACTTGTCCCTTCCTTCCATCCGTCCTCTCTTCCCCTGCCTCAGGGGCTGCACGAAATACATTTTGCGGGTAAGAGAGATAAGAGCGAACAGTACTACATTGATGGTTGTTGTTGTTGGTGGCGCTGGTGTTGTTGTTTTTATTGGTTGTGATGGTGTTGCTGGTGATGGTGTTGCTGATGCTGTTGATGGTGATGGTGTTGATGGTGATGACGATGATGACGATTGCTGCTGTTAATGGTCTTTTTTGTTGCTGCTGCTGGTGTTGTTGCTGTCATCGTTGCTTTGCAGCAGTGTGAAGGAACAAGCGGATGCACTGGACCATGCATACTTCACAAATGTTGTCCTCTCAAGACTCGGGTTGTGCATGGGCCGTTACATCGGAATAGGCACCTCGTTCGCAGAATCGTCGCATCTCGAGGATGTGGGATCGGCCCGGCTTGTCCGCTTGATCCCCATCAGGCTACTCGCTTCAAGATGCATTTCTATCCAGTTGCGCTGTCGCGCATATCCCCACTAAGCATTGACCTTGCACATTTCCTCGATGCACGGCCGTAGCACTGTGAGTACTATCGCGTGGCAGGGCGGCATCGGTGCATGAGCATGCGCACTGGCATGTGTACAAATATGTCTGCAGCACGTGTGTATCTACAGGTACGTAACTGTAATCAGTCTTTAGTTTTGGGTCCCCCCCATGTTTCTCGGCGGGCAACAAGCTCGATCCTCCACCTCCAACTTCCCCCCTCCTCCTGCTCCTCCACCTCCAACTCCCCCCCTCCTCCTTCTCCTGCTCCTCCTCGTCCTGATCCTACTCCTCCTCGTCTTCCTCCTGGTCGTGGTCGTTATCGTAGTCGTCGTCGGCGTCGTCGCGGCAGAATTTAGGTTCCCTCGATTGTTGGGCTGATTTAATGATTTTTCTTTCAGAGAATAATGCATTGTTGGCGACCCTACACGCGAGAGGATATGTGAGCATTTCCTCATGCGGATTGCACTATGAATGAGTGGTTGTGGTTGTAGTCGTGATTGTAGTCGTGATTGTACTCGCGATTGTAATCGTGATTGTAGTCGCGATTGTACTCGTAATCTTAGTCATGGTTGTAGTCACAATCGTAGTCGTAATCGTACCGTCGTAGTCGCGGCGGATATGAGTTTACCTCCATGTTGGGCGGGCTGGATAATGTTTGGTAATTCATTCTCTCAGGGGATAATGGGTTTTGGGCGACCCTACACGCGAGAGCAGTTTCTGAGCATAGTATCATGAGGCTTACAACGGGAATCAGTGATTGTGGTTGTAGAGGTGATTGTAGTCGTGGTTGTAATTGCGATCCTAATCGTGCTTGTAGTCGCGATTGTAGTCTTACTCATTGTAGTCGCAATCGTAGTCGTCGTCGTCGTTGCGCGGCTGGTGCCGCGGAGAAATGATTATCCTCCGCCAGTGGTGGGGTCCAGTCCGTCAATAAGGGCGTCGAAGTGATATTTAGTTTCCACTGTTCGGGGGGGGTTTAAAGACCCATCTCGATTAGACAGCTGAGTGGAGCACATGGATCCCGCGCTGGACAACGTGCCTCTCATCTGCTTCATTTTGTAGCCAGGGTGTTTGTATAATCTCGGGTCAGGCACCGAGGATCGAGAATCCGCGCGGACTGTTCCAGCCGCCCTGAGTTCTGTGCCAATCAGAATGATACAACAGGTCAAACAGGTATTGCACCCAAGTGGCATCCAGAGTTCTGTGTGGAGAGTTTGTCTCTAGCTTGCAGGAAGTAGGGCGTTGCAAGCAATCCTTCCGACGCTTACTGCTGCAGAGTGCGGTGGCGGGTTTGTCCTGAAGTGCAGACCTGGTGTGGCGCCGAACGTTGGATTCATGGAGAAGCTCGTTGGGTTCGAAAAGGAGACGAGGAAGGGCGAGTCAACGGTCGACATGGACAGCTACACTTCTTGGTACGGTGGTGGGGATCTCACCAAAGCTCCCGATCTGGCGCCAGCGTAGGCTGCCACTCTAGCTTGCGTCGTAAGACCGCCACGCCTCTTCGATGAGTTGTGTTTCAACGTTCCACTTGACGAGCTCTGTTTGATTGTATTTGTACTCTGGAACTTTGTTTCTGCATCGCACATGGGCCCGTCCGGAAACAGGACGAGCAGGGGAGCGCCTGTTGCGATCTGCGTGGGAGTGTTTGAAAGTGTTTCATGCCCATGAGTCAGAATGTTCTCATTTGGGGGACGCTCAGAAACGCATTGCTTGTCTGTTGCTGTTGGTGGTGGTTCGGTTTCCGTCCGAGCCCATGTGCAGAACATATTGTTCACAGACTAGCAATTTGAGCTGTTTGCGCTTCATAATTATTAGCGCTGAGTTTGCCTCGAGTCGGCGCATGGCGTTGTAGAACGCGTACTTCGTTGGTTTACCAATGGCTGCATCGGATCTGCGAGCGACAAATCAGAAAGGGATTCGCAAGGCCACGTCTGGCGTGTCTGTGGTGCTACCGTTTCTATACTCGCAGGCGGGAATGCCAGGCTTCAGGATCGTTGCGATGAGCTGCGGCATATCCAGCATGTCTAGACTTCGTTGTTCGATATGCCAGCGCGTGGGGCCCAAACAGTCAAGTCTGGTATGGCCGATATGCAAGCAATGTGGTGCAAGACAGGCCCCAACGCAGAGGGCACTCGTAAGGCACCAACCAGCGCGCAGCAGGCGAGGAGGTGACGAGAAGGAGGGGGCGGCCCAGAGGGAGTCCTAGCGCCGCAGCCAGTGTGCACCGGTCTGGAACAGCCGACTGCGGCCCAGAGGGCCAGACATGGGGCACCAACTCGGAGCGGCCGACGGAGACAGGGGACCAACAAGAGGACGCCAACGCATAGGGCACAAGCCGTAGGGCACCGACCAGGCACACGCCACCGCGTTACAGAGGGCCCACCAGACGGCATCATCGCATTGGACACCAGCCAGTGGGTACCGACCAGATCCGCGGATCTGTAATCCATTTTCGCGCGTGCTTGGTTTGTATCCAGCTGCCTGCGGCAAACCCCGCTGCCGTGACAGCGCAGCCTCGGCATGCACGTAGGATGTTGTCCTCGAGCTCCCCCGAACAGGCTCAGCATAATGGCATTGGGGCCATATGGGAAGCACCGCTACGATGCTGTAGCGTGGCCTTGCCGTAGCGTTGCATGATTGTCGCGTTGCCTGGCTGGGGGCTTCTCAAAGGTGACTCTCGATGTTGGTTTTTTGCAGCCTGTTAGGGCCTGGATACGGCGTCGGAGGGAGGAGGGAGGGAGCGGGAGTCAGTGGCAACGTTAGGCTCAGGGGGATGCATCGACCCCCAATCGCCCATTGATCGCCGGTAGGGGCCCCATAGCCCGCCCTCGCCCAGGAACGTCCGGTTTCGCTATCGGGGCCTATCGCCGATCCATCGATGATGCATCGCCGATTCCAGCTCGATGTTACCCCCCCCCTCCCCTCCCCCCTGTGCCGGTCCCCCCCCCAGCGTTGCACTTCAGGAGCAGGGAGTGGTCGGCGGGGGAGGCTGGAGGCCGAACCCGCATGCTGCAGCGGCGCGGTGAGAGAGGCGAGCATACTGCCTCCACGAGCCGCGTCGGGTGCACGAGCGGGCTGTCGGCGAGCTCGACCGGCAGGCTCGCCGGCATTTCCGCGGTCGAAAAAGGCGCACTGCTTCTTCGCTCCTGTTTTCGGGTGTCTGCATAGCTCTGCTCTGTCTGCCCCAGGAGGGGCTCGCGCCCATGATCACCGTGGCTTTTACATCGAATCAGAAAAACGAATGAGCCCCGCCCTTCGGCTGTTTGCCCCTGCTCAGCTTAAGAGAGGCGGCCAGTGCATGTGTTGGTCAAATGAGGTGTAGCCTGAGGAGGATGTGGATCAGAGGGGCAAGAGGTCACGATAATGATACCTTCCAGGATTTCCAATATTTCCAGGCTTCCAAGATTTCCGAATGTTCCACACTGGCTGCAGAAACGATGGCCGCTAGACCCTCTTGAACTCCTGGAACATATCCTGAGCCAATCGCATCATGATATCATTCCCGTGCTAGCGAATACCGCGCGTTTGAGGCATTCGCCATCTCAGCGAAGCCAATCCAACGAAGCCTGCGCGAGCTTACCTCTTGAGCCTGTGTAGCAACACGCAATCCAATAGCTATGGGCGAGCAGTGGCACGAACGATTGGGCGCCGTCCAGTACAGGGCCGCATTCTGCAGAGGTTCCCTCCTCCTGGCCAGCCGCACCGCAGTCGTCTTTCAGCTTACGCGTCCTCCTGGTCTGCGAGTCCTCCACGGACTTCAGGTACTGCGCCGCCCGGGAGTGGTTATGGTTAAGTCGTGCGTGTTACAGGAGGAATCTTCAAAGATAGTCGAAAAGTAGTCTGGGGACGATGTTTTGACTATTTTAGCCCATTTGGGGTGTATTTTTAAAGTTGTTTTTCGCCCAAAATCCACCTGTAGGGGGACACGCCCGATTTAAAGTTAAGGGGCGGGAGACAATCTGTCAGGGAGGCATGTGTTGCCCTGGGGCTCTTCGGCGTTCGTGATGCCGTCGTCGCAGGAGCGGCCCAGCACGCTGCCGAGAAGACCAAGACGATAGATGCGATCTCGCCCACGCCTCAGTTAGTCTCAGGAGGTGCTTAGTTCTGAACCCCCCACCCCCTTGTTTCTCGGCGGGGAACGAACTCGCCCCTCCTCGTCGTCGTCTTCGTCGTCGCCGTCGCGGCGGCGGAGATGAGTTTCCCTCTATTGTTGCGCGGGCTGGAGAATGTTGGAGGGTTCTTTCCCCCACGGAATAATCCATTGTGGATTACACGCGAGAGGATTCGTGAGCATCTTCTCATGCGGATTGCAACAGGAGTCAGTGGTTGTGGTTGTAGACGTGATTGTAGTCATGGTTGAAATCGCGGTCCTGATCGTGATTCTAGTCGCGAATGTAGTCGTAATCGTTGTAGTCGCAATCGTCTTCGCAATCTTAGTCGTGATCGTCGTCGTTGTTGCTCGGCGGGTTGTGAGCGGGAGGATTTGTGAGCATTCTCATGAGGTTCGCCATAGGAACGTACATCGTTTCGATTCGCGAGTTTGCGTAGTCGTAGTCGTCGTCGTACTTGTAGTCGCGGTCGCAAAATCTCGTAGTCGTAGTCGTAGCCGCAGCCGTAGTCGTATCGTTGTCGTAGTCGCAATCGTAGTCGTAGTCGTCGTCGGTGTTGTTCCGCGGGTGCCGTGGAGCCTAATTATGTTCCACTATTGATTGGACCCCCGCCCGTCAGTCAGGGCGTCGAAGCGACAGTTAGTCTCCACTAGTGGAGGGGGTTCTAAGACCTAAAAGAGTCTGAGCTTGTTATTGCCGGCAACAAGGTATTGGCCGACATCGAGAACGGCGGCGCGGGCGTGGCGAACGAGTACGCCAAATTACGCTACCTCTTACACCGTATCCGCACGAACTTACGCTACCTCCTGAATCGCCAGCTCAAGTACAACGGCATGTGGATCTTGTGGGGTGGAGGCTTCGGGGAACCATGTAGCACCAAAACTCGCAGCAGACCATGTCGGCAATTGCGTACTCCCACGCAACATGGACTACGGCAGCGCGAGCGATAGACACATCAACAGAAGCGATACCGCCTTCCTTCGGGCTGCAGGTCTGTTCTGGCGGGGGCCTCAGCGAAGGTCGCGATGTTGTTGCTGTAGTAGATGTACTTATTGTCCAAGAGTATGATGCTGTGAAGAGGCCGCTCGGTGTCATCGGACAGCTGTTGCAACAAACTCCGCTCCTGTTCCGTGCCCAGGTTGCATCCTTGGACGCAGCAGCCAGCGCGTTACAGGCAGTATTTGAAGGCAAAGCGTGGACATTTGAAAGGCATTCAGGCGCGCGTGGTGGTATCATCACGATCAGTGGCCCGTTGCGCAACACAACTTTGAGCATCTGACTATTCCAGCTGCGCGCGGCAATTCCAACCACCCTGTAGCGCAACATTCCGTGGCGAAGCTTCGAGCATCGTCCAGAAGGCCGTGGCATGTGGCACATCTCGTCTCTACTTTTTCCCAACCCTCCTGCGTTGGGTACTCGTTTTGAATAGAGCACTGCGGTCTCCACCTTCCTTCCTTCCCGCCTCCTCCTCCTCTCTTCCCTCTTCCTCTCCTCTCTTGCTTCCCTTCTCCGCCTCTCTTCGCTCCTCCTCTTCTCTCTTGCATCCTTTCTCCTCTCTTCGCTCCTCCTCTCTTGCTTCCCTTCTCCTCCTCTCTTCGCTCCTCCTCTTCTCTCTTGCCTTTTACGTCATCCCTTTGGGGCTGCGATCTGTGAAACTGTCGCCACTTTCGAGGGCTGCTGGTGGGTCCAGCGGAGTGAGGCACCACGCAGATTCAGATTAGACCTCGCCATCCCTGGGGGGCTGCGATCTGCGAAACTGTCACCACTTTCGAGGGCTGCTGGTGGGTCCAGCGGAGTGAGGCACCACGCAGATTCAGATTAGACCTCGCCATCCCTGGGGGTTTGCGATCTGCGAAATTGTCGTCACTTTCGAGGGCTGCTGGTGGGTCCAGCGGAGTGAGGCACCACGCAGATTCAGATTAGACCTCGACTTTCGAGGGCTGCTGGTGGGTCCAGCGGAGTGAGGCACCACGCAGATTCAGATTAGACCTCGCCATCCCTGGGGGTTTGCGATCTGCGAAATTGTCGTCACTTTCGAGGGCTGCTGGTGGGTCCAGCGGAGTGAGGCACCACGCAGATTCAGATTAGACCTCGCCGTCCCTGGGGGGCTGCGATCTGCGAAACTGTCGTCACTTTCGAGGGCTGCTGGTGGGTCCAGCGGAGTGAGGCACCACGCAGATTCAGATTAGAC